GGAACAGAAACTTAGAACCCAAATTTTTCACTTAAAATAAGGGAGCCCTAGAGAGGGCAGCCATAAGTATTTCTTATTTATAGCCAGCTTTCTGAATTTAAGCTTTGGCATTGTAGCTGTTGTGTGTTATAAACTTGAGAAAGTTCCCAGTTCCAGAAAAAGTCTATTTATTCCACTAGTTGCCATGGATAACACTTGTTTGTATACATCTTTAAAGCCAAAGGAGTGGAACTGCATAAATAGAGGGACTGGAATTCAGAATATTTTCCAAACAGATGTAATTTTCATCTCCATAGTTGTTCAATTAGTGGCACTTGATTGGATAACCAAGTTCATCTAAGTCTTCCTGAATGCCCCTGTGACTTGTAAGTCAGCTCAGTGACTGATGGGCAAAGTGAAAAGGTGTGGAGGAAACTCCAACACTAAAGACTTTTAGAATAATCGATAATTCACAGCACAACAGAGAGAAGGAAGACAGACTTACCCTGAAGCTATGTGAATAGAAAGCAAGGATGGTTTCCAGAGTACAAGGTGGACCTGAAAGATTTAATCCCAATGAGAACAAGCCACCTGTTCTGCCACACACATTTCCTCCTCATTCCTCTTACCACCTGCCTTATACAGGGGAGAAGGATTTCATGTCTTCTGAAAGCAGAGGATTCAGTTCTGCTTTTTTTTTTTTTTTTTTTCCAGAAAGAAGGTGCCTCCACACAGTGACAAATGTCCCTTACAATTTTCAAGCTCATTTGAACTCGAAAATGCTCTCATTTGACTTCAATGGGACAACTCTTCAGTAGGGCACGCTTGGCTGGGCTGGATGCTCGTTGAGAAAACCAGTCTGCAACCACCTGTCGGCTGCCGGCTCCTTTTGTGAACATTCAACTCTTTGAGAACAGGACTCTATTTCTGCATCTGTACAACTCTGAGCACATCCTATCCTAGTGGGAGCGTGGAGCTTTAGACACTACCTACCCAAAACACGTGATTTTCTTAAAACATTGCAATAGTTGTGTTAATAAACTGGCAAGTGAACAAATCTCCCTGCCATGTTTACCCTGAGCCCTGAATTTGCCCAGAGTACAATATAAGCAGGTAGTTTGAACACTGCTGATATTTTTAAAGGAAATATACATGGTGCAGTAGATAACAAGCTGCTTTTTTTTTAACTTGCTCTTTGTTTCCTTTTGTGTGCCCCTGCTCCCATATAGTCGATAGCCCAAACATCAAAACACTATTTCATTTTATTTTTCAGAGTTCATTTACTTACACTCAAAGGCTTTTGTTCCAAAGAACAAAGCACATGTGTCTTACAGTTTGACCCTTCCTCCATCTTTCCCTAGGAGTTGCAATTAAACTTTCATTTAAGTAGTCATTTGGTGTGTGGGATACTATGCTAAAATACTTTGAATCACTGGTTTTAGTAAGGCCCCCAGCTGCTCTATCTACAGCACCCAGTGACTCTTCTGATCACGTCGGAAAGACTTTGCTAATATTGGGTATGCTTGGGAGGACTGATTATTTAGATAGAAGAAATGAAAATAGAGAAAGGATTCTTTTTAAGGGAAGGCACTGACTGCAAAGGACAACTGGAGTGTGTATTGTGTGTCTATCCATTTCTTACCCATCATTTTGTTTCTGCTGTGGGAATACATCAAAATATTGGCTTCCTGTGAATAAGGCGCTTATTCATGACTTAGGACCTTGTAAATTCCATATGTGATTGTGTTAAAATGTCCTTATGTTTCCCATGCTCATACTAGATTTTTATGTGTGCAGGCACGTTCTCCCTGCCCCTGCACCACTCTACATCCACAGAAATGGAAAAATTGTCTTCCTAAAGAAAATTGCATTCTGAAAAACAATGGTTGATTGATAGGAAAAGAGGGGGAAAGTCTCTTGTTCCCATCTGTACCACCTCTTGCCCCCTTGTCTTTGTCATTATTTTCCATATTTTGGGAGAAACAATAGTCATATTTAATCCTGAGTGATTTTGGAGTTGTTCCCCTTCCCTCACCTCCCTCCCCTGCACAGTTTGGCTGGTTTTCTTTCTCGTCTCATTCATTTCCTTGAAAGGATTCACACCAGAGGGGCTTCATCCACTAGTATGTGGTTGAAAAACAGATTCTTTCAGAGAAAATGGAGACAACTAAGCCTATATATGTGCTCCACCACCAAAGTGGTACTTGAGAAACAACCAGGAGGAGTGCACCATCAGGCAGTCTTCCAGTGCACAGCTAATACATCCCTTACAGAAAGTTTTACATCACATGTGCAGTGGAGCCATTCAACCCAGAGGTCCAAACTCTATTTAATTAAAAATAGGTCCTACGAACCACATGAAATGAAGTTGTAAGGAGCCTAAGCACGTATCAATCCAGTTTACAAGATCTGTTTCTATTGCACTGAATTGCAGGCTCATGTAATGTATATATTACATCTACAGTCTGCCAAGTCTGCAGCCTCCCTTTCAGCTGGATTCCTAAGAAGCTCTGTCTTTTCTGGGGTTATTTTCACAAAGTTTGAGACTTCGGTCTCCACAGGTTAACAGTTTCCGAATGGATAAAAAACCAGTATTATCACACAAGATGCATTTCCTCACAAAACCAGCTAAAACGTCTGCCATTCATGGTGAGATATAAATCCATGTCTGCACAGTATTATCAATAACAGTTCTTCTCAATTATGCCAAAATGTTTTTGCATTGACATGGTACTTGTTGGCTCGTGTGTTTCCAACAAATGTGCACTCTAGAACTAGACTGAAACTGAATTTAGAATTCTCTACACTTTAGGGGGCAGGAGCAGTCATTTGAATCTTGTATGTGCATTACATGAAGGGCTTAATCAAAACTCAATCAATTCCCACCTCACCAAGTTTAGAAAGGGATTTAAATCCAGTACCAGATTTGGATCTGAATTTCGTGCCTGGGGGCTCATTTCAGTTATCAATTAGTAGTTGCTCTTGTGATGTATCAAAAGGCAGTAGCATATAGGCTGTTGTTTAGAGACGTACATAATGTAGCTTTAAATTTCATTGGGAAACTAAACAAAACCTCTGGCCTTAGGGCTGCATGTTCAAATGCTACAGTCCCATAGTGCATTACACTAGTCAACACTTCTTTTCAAATACCACCCGCATAACAATTAACCTCACTTCAACCTTGAGGTCTCTGATTAGTGATGGCCTATTGTTTAAGTTCCATTAACATAGCCCCTGTGTTGCCCTATTCTCACTCAAATGGACTAATCAAATCAGTCACCAAGGACTTAAGCTCAGAGTCCAACTTCTTTGGTAAGCAGCAATTTTCAATTTAAGTAGAATAGTGAATGTCATCAACACAGTCACAATTAGTATAGTTCTGACATGGAAAACATTCTTAGTGATCCCAAATTTGTGACATATCAAGGGCCTTAGCAACTTGCAACATGAGAATTTCTACGTATATTAGAAAAATTACAATATCAATAGGGTAGTCAATGCATTACCTTACATCAGACAAATCTCTGAAAGGACAGAACCTCAGTCAGATTCCATTTAATTTCAAAAAGCAAATGCTGTTTTGATCCAGTAGAAATAAAAACACGTTACAGAATTTTTAAAATGTTCTTTTTGACTATCCACACCATATTTATTATGAAAAAAAGAAAAAGGAAAGCATTGTTTATTTTTCCAAATCTAGCTACAAAGTTGTTATTCTTGACATTCTCTTACTTGGATTGCACAACTAGGTTTTCATTCATATTAGCTAATACTTGCTCTTTCAATCATTTGGAATTAAAAATGGCCTAGTATTATTTCTTTCGATTATTTTTAACACTGTCTTCTATTTCTGACAAGATGATTCAGGATAAACCTCTAAGAAGATACAGTGGAAAAGTCACGGAAAATACAAGCAGAACTTCACCAGTAGAATTCAGGGCCAAATTTTCAATGGGCAAATATACATGTAATGAGAGTTATTACCTACTTAGATACCCACTGTGCACAGGCAAGAAATTATTTTCATGCACATGTAGTTAGTCCATGAGCAGCACATACATTTTCCAGCCATTCAGATCTTGCTTTCGTTTGAATACACAGCAAAAAGTCAAAGTGGGAAGCCTCTGGCCATTGAGCAAGACACTGAGGACACCAAGGACTTTCAAAATGGAGCCTTTGTGGCAGATAAGATTTTGCTGTGGTTGTAAGTGGTAATTCCTACCTAATGGAAAAGAAACTTTTTTCCTTTTTCTCTTGTCATCTTGTTTTCTTGTCAAAATGCATCTGCTTTCTCAGTGTAACACTTTTTCAGATCATGACAGAATCATGCTCTCTCATCTCCTCAGAATATGATGAAGTTTCTAGGTAATGTTCAGATACAGCTTTTCTTTTATGATCAGCTAGAACATTGTACACAGAATAAACATTGCCAGACACATTAAATGTTTTATTTCTCTGCTTCAGAGAATGAAATTTGGCAGAAATATTCCCCAGTTTAAATCCATCTTTTGTTTGCCTCATTGCTTTACACACCATGTAGTGAAAAAACTGGCTTCACACTGCTCCCACACCACCAGTCCATCTGACTGACAATAGATCCAATCTGCATTACATGGGAGGCCATGTGAGCCGCCTATTCTGCTCCTCCATCTCCACCGACAGCTGGAACTGGACTTGGAGCAAATACCAAGAGAATTTGCATGATAGTCCATTTGGAGCACATATGCTATAAATTCACCATTGCTGCGAAATGGCAAGCCATAGGCCTCATGCACACAGAAGTTACATGAATTTAAATTAAAACCAATTTAGTCTAAACCAGAATGAACTTCTGTGTGAACACTCTTAATAGTTTAAAATCATCTCGCTTCAGTTTACCCAGCAGACAGTTAACCAAACGCAGGAGAAGCACAGACATTGCCAAGCAGTCTCCATCTTTAATGGAAGTCATTTTAAACCCCACCTTTAGCCCTTTTGCTGGCAGGGGCTCTGCTGTATTGGCTAGGGCTGCTCAACCATACCTGTCGTTCAGAACTGGGGGGGATTCTTTTGCAGTCCTTCTACTCTTGCTTGTGTTACCCACAGTCAATCACTGCCTCTTCTTTGGAGGACTCCAGAAGTGGCACCACACATTGACCAGCGTTGGATCAGGTTTGATCCTTCCAGTCCATCAGTGAAGGCACTGGGGCAGCAGCTTCTGGAGAGGCAAAAGCTACACACATTCTCCAGCCATTGTTTTGGCAACGTTACCCCTGGGCACGGACCCCCCGCCTGCACTGCCTCCTGTTGCTCTTTTGTTCGAGAGAAAACTTGTCGTTTAGAGGCTGATTATTAGTTTTCTTTTCTCTTCGCCTCCCCCGAGTCCCCCTTTAACTGGATCATCACGAGTTTTAGGAGACTTACCCCTTTCTAAAGAAAACAAAACAGAATAAACAACCTCTTTCCAGTTCCTGCCAGAGCTCTCTTCTTTTCACCAACATCCATTTTCTCCCAAAAAAAAATCGAAAGGACAGGGAGAAAAAGACAGCTTCTTCCCTCCCCCCACAATGAAACAACAAAGAGCACAAACAAAATTAAAATTAGGCATTTAAGCTGATTTTCACCACTTAACTTTTGACATGTTTTTCCAAATTTCGTTCAAGTCCGCTCTGAAGACTCGGCCAGTGAAACCCACTGTATCAAGTGACGTTTCCAAGCCTTTTTGCATAACTTCTGTGAAACAGCCCATGTGTTCTTTGGAGTGGCAAAGGCACCTTTCTGCTAATGTGGAATTTGGAGCTTATAACACAAAAAAGTATCTGTCCCTTTGAGGAGAAATAAAGGGTGAAATGCATAATTTTTCAGCTTTATGTAATTCTGAAAATATTTTGGTTCTGATACATCCAAAATCACTCTGCAAAAGGATCTCCAGGTGGGTGATTTATTAGAAGTTAAAGCCGTTGCCCAAAAGTTCTGTTCTATTTTATGCCCACGTAGCATCGGTTCAGCTTCATTGTCTTGCTTTGAGAAGTAATTGTTTTTTCTCTCCAGAAATATATTTTTCTTCCAGTAAGTCTGCATCATATTCATCATCTGGAACGTATTGGGAGCGCTGCACTGGGCTCCGCTCGCAGCTGCTCCCAATCATAACCGATGCGCTCAGAGCCGACCTGCAGAATACCCAGCAGGCGAGGAGGGACCGTGCGCTCCGGACCGCTCCTCCTTCCGCGGCTGCACCCGCGCTCCGGGGGCTGCAGCTCTGCTTCATTGCCAGGTGTAACTCAAAATGGCACTTTTGACCCACAGAGCCATTCAAGGTTTAAGAGCTTCTATTTCTTTGAGACTGCTCCTCTGTTTCAACATCGTGTTTCACCTGGCAGCCAAGACTGGCTGCAGTTGCATGAGGTGAATAGCAATGTTGACTCTGTAAAATACATGAGGGTTTGTAGAATGACAGGCCGTTCTCAGCGGATATACAGCATAGGAGCAATAGAAAGATGGGGAGTGTCTTGTTTCATAGAGGAGAAAAGAAAGAAGGACTTCTTTTCATTTGAAAAAAAATAAGATTCTACTTTTTTAAAAAAAATATCATTAAATTAAACTGCTCCCCTGCAAATATTCTGTAGTAGAACTGCTAAGAAATGTGTAAATTACTTGTGTCCATATTAGTATCGTGGGTTTTTCCAGTACTGATATCTTTTCCTTAGAAGCTGTTAGGTGTTTTAATGCTCTTACTTAGATTTGGAAAATCCTGGGGGAAAGAAAACAAACAAACAAACAAAAAAACAAAAATGTAAACATATGCATGAAAATCATGAGATGTTGTCACTACAGGAAATCGGGCAAATAGAATATTGGCTGCTGGAAACAGAAAATCATCATTTACTTTAGTAAAGGAATAAATTTAATACAACAAAAAGAAAGCACACAGTATGTGCTAGTCAAGATGGCTGCGCATTTCTTCTGTAAGAGCTGATCCCCATGTCCAGAAGAAGTGTTCTGCACCAGTCTGTGCAGATGCCATGAGATAAGGGTATGCCTTCATGGCTTTGCAATCATCCAGCTTCTCTTAGGATTTATCTCTGGGTTTATAGCCTACCTGACTGAAGCAAGGCACAGGTGTTACAGTGTAGTCAAGAGAAATCTCCTTCTCTGTAACCTGTGCCTGCTACCTGCAACCAATACCCCTTCTGCCTTTCTAAGGAGCACCCAAGCCTCTCCACGTGCCCTCATTCCCTCTCCTCCATTCCCACCTTCACACATGCTCCCCTCGAGGTCTCTCACCCTTTTTTCACTGATGTGGCAGCCAGACAAACTCCTATTTAAACTATGAGAAGACTAATTTTATCTAACTTAACCAAAGTAAATTAGCAGACTTAAATTACAGACTTAATTATAAAATATATAATATTCTTGATGGTTGTGATTTTGCAGCAGGTCAAGAAATATTCTGTCATTTCCCTATAGATGCAAGGTCTTCATTACTCTGTTTTCTTCACCTAAAAGAAAAACTCCTGGCTGTAAGGAAAAGGTTGAGTAGAGGACTTTAGAGCATTTCAGAAGCAGAGGACAACTGGAAAACAAATAGCTTTCTCTAATTCTTTTTTTTTAACAAAACCCTTTTAAAATAAAATTTTATGTTTGATATGGTGGTAACAAACTGTCATGTTACTTCTCTTGGGGTCATGTTTAGCATTGACCAAACTGCTTCTAGCCCGGCGTAAGACACGGTTCAACCCCCTGTACTGTATAATAAACTATGCCCATTGCAACAGTTTCAGCTGCATTAAATCAGCTCAATAAAGATAACTCAAAATAAGGAAACACCATTTTTCCTCACTTAGATGAGACTTGAGTGGAAACGGATAGCAAAGCCCCAGCACTGCATACAGCAAGTGGATAGGAAACCATCTGCTCCACCGCTGCCGGCTTTTCGGAGCCTAGGGACCTGAGAGATGCCCCAGGTTCCTCAGCAGCAGTTGCTAAGGAAACATTTTAGGGAACCTTTTTCATAAATTCATAGTAATCTCCATTTCTCAAATGTCAAGGCTAATGACTCACCCTTTGATTGCAAATGGGATTTACTACCACAGAATTGCTGGCAGCCTTCAAAGCTAAATTGTATTTGTCAGCATTTGAAGACTTTTAGTACGTTGGTTACCACTGCTCCCCTTGAGTGAGCAAAAAATGTAGATACATGAATATCTGGCAGAATTCCCTTAGAAATAATTCAACCCTTTACTAAGTTTCCATACAAGCAAGAAGACAGGGATTGGTGTCTGCAGGGCTCCTACAACAGGGAATCCCCATAGCAGAGCCTGCACATTAGGGGGTTTCTAGCCTGAGGTGCAACGAGGCCCTCCTGGGGAGCACAGATCCCAACAGGGGGGACTTGGGACCAGCCTAAATCTGTCTCTGGGTATGACCAGTAGAGACATGCACCCTGCCTTTCCCCCCAGAGATTACTTCTGCTTGAAGGCAGCTGGATATGCCCACAGATTTTGTGCAAGTCACACATGAATCAGTGCCCTTGGTTTTCCACTGATAATTTGCTATGCAAGTCTGCATTTGGGATATCACCTGAAATGATACCAAGAACCTGACACTACATTACTTTGTGCCTTCACGATTCTTTTTCTGCCAAGTGCCAAGTTTGCAAATGCACCCTGAGACTCCCTCCTTCAAAGTATTTGAGAAGGTATCAACAAACCCAGACTTCAAGGACAATATCTATTGCTTTGAAGGCAACACATATTTAGAACAAGATTCTCTCTCAAGCGATGCAGACCTCACTGCAGATAGGTCTACTTCCAAGTTAAAAGCTTATAGCTCAGAATACAATTTAAAAAGTGGATACTTTAACACCTAGTGCTTTAAAAACACATAAAAGAACCTCAAAGAAATACAGACCTAACAACAAAGTTTCTGTAAATTACTTTTTGTAGACACTTCATATTTATATAAATGCATATCATAAGTCTATTTGAACATTGGTTCACACTGCATTTAAGAAATTTCTACTTCACATAAAAGTTATAGATATAATATACTTTGAATGGATTCTTTTTATAAATCACTGTGACTCAGGGAAACCCTTTCTCCCTGGAATTACCATTCACTGGTATATGGAGAATACCATCGATGAGATCCAGAATTTGTTGTCAGTAGCATTGCATGGCTAGGGGACACATGTCATGATATAAAAGCGGTATCCACCCATTTAAGAATATGCACTTAAAATGTATAGAAATGCCTGCAGAGCTACACTATTTTGAAGTGTTTCCTGGTCACCTTGAACACCACTGTCCAAAACAGGCAGATGGAGAAAACACTCATCCAACTTTTGCTTTCTCTGTCTGGGGAAAACATATCCCTCAACTGTGTTTTGTAGCACTCTGCCTAGAGACAGACAATTTGGCTCTCCTGTGGCGTCTGGCTACAGGATTTCACAGTGTAGATCTGCTCATTTTTCAGCTGGCATATTCAGCCAAATTGCCAGAATATACATGTCCTATCCCAGGTCCAGGTGCTAGGAGAAGGCTCCACTCTAGAACTCTTTTTGCCTACGTACAAAAAGAGGAACCACTGCCTCTGAGATTCTAACACTGGTGTTTCTAAGGCTGTTTTTCTTCCTCCATTGATTGTCTTCTAATTCTATACTCTCTCATAGAATTTTTCTTATCCCAATACTCTAAAATGAAGTACTGCAAGTGTAGAGGTGGACTTGGGCAGTTCCCCCTTAGTTTCCAGATGGCTCCGTCTAAAATAATAGTTTAAAAAAATACACTTAGCTCAGAAAATAAGTCTCTAAAACTTGACTGAAAACATATGGCTCCAAAATGTAGATGAAAAATGAACAAACATCTGCATTTTCATACTGTTTACCAAATGCTGAAATCAAAGTCCAGTCTATGCACTGCTTTCTTTTTCTATAACCAAAAAGCCTGCTTAGTTATTACAGAATACAGCAAAAGTCCGACAGCGTATTATTTTAGTAACACTGAGTTTTCTCACTCTCCTAATGATTATTCACATCATTTTCTAAAAAAAAAAAAAAATACTAATCTGACTAGGAGGATCTGTCTTTTAGTTTTAGATTCATCAATAATTATAATTGCAGCACCTGTGTGCCTTTTTCTGTGTGAAGCAAAGTGCCATGTGTACCGAGCCATGTACCACGGGGGCTCCAAAACACCCTGGCCGATCCTTCACTGTAAACACCACGATAATACCTGCACACTTAGGAACAATCACACACTTGCATGGAGACATAGAACATATGATTGTGGTTTAACCTTTTAAAGAAATTGTTTTTTTGCTTCTATTGAAAAACAGACATACAGACTCTGGGAGGTTATTTTATTCCCATATAGTAAATGTGAAATCCTGAGGACTTTGAAACATTCTGTAATTCAAACAAAGTTTTATTGTTTCCTGAAACGCAACAACCATTAGAACTTCATCTAGGTAGATTAACACTTTGTTGTCTTGCTTTTTAGAGCACTAACAACCTGATCTACCAGCACAGTACACATTTTTAATGTTCCCTCTTCAGTCGAAGAAGGGAATTTCCTCTAATTTTGGCAAATGGTATGCTGAGAGAAACGTTATTTAACTCACTACATAGCTGTAAATCTGTTTTGTAAATCTTGCACTTTTTGGAAGGCTTATTGCTAAAACTTTTGCTTCAGAAGCACATTTAAGGGGTTTAGATTTAATAAGGTTAAAAACCATCTGAGCATTTTGAGACTACAAAGAAATAATATATCTGTAGTGTCCCTTGCGATAGATTAGAGACAGGACTTGGTTGCGGTAATGAATATAAATGGGATTCTTTATTAAAGCCACTGGACAGAAGCAGGACTGCAGCTCTGCTTTCCAGCTCCCAGGCTAACTGCACACAACCTATGCTTTCTAATAGAACCACACAAGTCTAGCCTAAATCCTGGCCTAGATTCAGCAGCGTTGGAAGGGATTGCCAAGCTCCATGAAACCTAGTTACTTAAATTGTTCAACAGTGGGTACAACTTCCAGAGCATCCTCTGCCAAGGCTTACACAATCCCTACATTTGCATGCACGTGAATTAAACAATGAAATGGCTGGAGATTCTGCAACTGGGAATAGAAATATCCTCCATGCAAAAATCTTTTTTTCCTTGCAAGTTTGAGGATAAAAATAGTTCTGGGACCTGAAAGCCTAGATATTTAATTTCTTTAATGCTATTTTAATTACAAAACTAACTTGAATAATAAATGTAAATATACAAGGGAGAGAGGAAGCCACCTCTCCATAAACCAAAGCCAGGATTATTGGCTTATTCCAGTTGTTGGGTTTTTTTTCATGGAGGCTGGACGGGGAAGTTAATGAGTGTTTGTGGTCTTTGTGCTGAGTCCAGACCATGCTAAAGGCAAAGACCAAGATGGCAATGGTTGATCATCTGCTCTGCTCTGGTCAGAGGAGAAAGGAACTGGATCCCTGACCCTGAGAAGTCCAGTCCTGTGGATGCAACTTTTTCTCTTCCTCTCCCTGCCAGGTCGAGGGAAGTCAAGGACTTGCAGCCTGCTGACTATCAGGCAGAGCAGAAGTGTCCCACCCACCTCGCAGCGTGATTGTGCTCATCCTCCCAAGGTGCTCAAGGATGCACGCAGGGGCCGCAGTGCAGAGCTGGGAGAAGCCAGCCCAGTGCCCACCCTTGTGCTCCTGCTTCAGTTTGGCAGGCACAGCCCACACCCCCCTCACCTTCAGGGGCT